CCTCCTCCTCCTCCTCCTCCTCCTCCTCCTCCTCCAAGTAAATTTCCTTATGAAGAACTCCTCCCTGTCGCACCCCAAGGCCGGTCAAAAGAGCGGGCCAGGCGTTTCGCCTGAGAATTCCTCACCACTTATGATCCTGAAGCTTAAAAATTGACAACAGCTTCACAAGTTGAGGGCAGGTGGCTTTCAAAATGTGGCTCTCGCATCAGCGCTGCCCTCAATCCGCTCTCGCCTCAGCGCCGCCTCAGAATTCGACGGATTGAGAGCGTATCGTTTTCAAAATGTGGCTCTCGCCTGAGCTCCGAGCACATTCGTGCTACAAGCATTGCAAGAGTTTCGCGGATTGAGGGCAGGTCGTTTTCAAAATGTGGCTCTCGCCTTAGCGCCGCGCACATTCGACTTGAAACACTGCAAGTGTTTCACGGAGTCCCATGGTCAACGTATCAGAAATTGTCTTTGGAACGAGTCAGGATACTTTGATTCGCGGTGTTGATGTCCCAGGAATGGTCTTCTGGCACGATTCAATATCGTCAAGATGTAACAGTCAGGTTGATCCGTGGCGTTGGAATCCCGAGATTAGTGTTTTGGCAGGCTTCAGGATCTTCAAACGGTGATCTCCAAACGAGGCAGTTCCCTCAGTGGAAATGAACCCTTGCAGGGGCCTATGAGGAGGGAACTTGGAGGGCGGGTTTATTCCAACATCGTTGATGAGTCTTGGGTTTACACTGGTCCTCCTCCTCCTCCTCCTCCTCCTCCTCCTCCTCCGCCCACACATCCCTCGAAGAGGGGTGGCGGCGGCGGCGAGCGGCGCAGGAGCACCCCCCCCCCTGCGCCGGCAGCGGACGGCGGGGCCAGTGGGCCAGGGAGCCCCAGAGAGGGCGCGTGCGCCCAGCAACGCACACGAGCATGCCCCCACCCTTCGGTGGCGACTCATGGGAGTCTCCCATACCATCTTGTTGGCTCCCGCGTATCGACGCGAATCGACACAATCGACGCTGAGTCAACCCTCGTCGACGCTAGTCGACGCTAATCGACGCTAAATCGGCGCTTTCCCTTCCATTACCAGACGCTGATCGACTCCAATGCGCTCTGAAGACGGAATTGCCAAAGTATACAAGGCTCCCATGATTTGCTACCAAGCCACCCCCAGTCCTGGAGCACAGCTACGCACACGAGCGCGCCCAGCCACGCACACGGGAACGCCCCCAACGCCACAAGCACGCCTTGAGCATAGCCAAACTTGCGGAGGTACGCGCGGACCTCCTCTGGGTCGGCGCTGGGCCCCGTTGGCGCCGCTGGGGGGGGGGAGAGGGCCCAGCGCCGATCCAAGAAATCCGCGCGGACTTCCGGAAGTGTATGCTTGTGTGGATGCGTTCTCTTCTACCCCCGGAGGGGACCATAGACACAGACCAAATCAACGTAGGTCCCCAGGGAAAGTTAGGACAAAATGGGAGCTGGCGGGCGGGGACGATGAAGATCCAAAAAAATGTGGAAGAGGTTGGGGAAGCATGGTCGAAATTCGCGAGGCGGCCCTCGTGCCACGAACGAGCGCGCCGTGCGCTCTCTCGGAGCCCGTGTGAACAATGTGCGTGTACGTCTCTGCCTCGCAACTGGGGGACAACGTCGGGCGGCGACGGGGCTGCCTCCTCTTCCTCCTCCTCCTCCTCCTTTTCCTCCTCCTCCTCCTCAGCACCATCATCATCATCATCATCATCATCATCATCATCATCATCATCATCATCATCATCATCATCAACATCAGCATCAGCATCAGCATCAGCATCATCACCACCACCACCACCACCACCGTCATCACCACCATCATCATCATCATCATCATCAGCAGCAGCAGCATCAGCATCATCGTCATTGTCATCAGCATCATCATCAGCAGCATCATCATAATCAGCATCATCATCATCATCATCATCAGCAGCAGCAGCATCAGCATCAGCATCAGCATCAGCATCAGCATCAGCATCATCAGCAGCACCAGCAGCAGCATCATCAGCATCATCAGCAGCAGCATCATCATCGTCATCATAGTCATCATCAGCATCGTCATCAACAACAGCATCAGAATCAGCATCGTCATCAACATCATCATCAGCAGCAGCATACTCATAATACGAATCAGCATCATCAACAACAACATCAGCATCATCATCAGTATCAGCATCATCATCATCAGCATTGTCATCATCATTATCAGCAGCAGCAGCAGCATCGTCATCAGCCTCATTATCCTCCTCCAGCCGCCCCTCCTCCCCCTCTTCCTCCTCCCTCCCTCCTCCCCCCCTCCTTCATCCTTCAAACACGGGTCCCCTGGGAGCCCGAAATCCGAAAAAATCGACTGGCCCTCCTTGGGCGTACGGCAGGTTGGTGGCGTGAAGACATGTGCGTGGGCTTCTGACACCGCATCGACTGTTCGGCCTCGAACTGTCACGGCTCCCCGACAGCGCGCATAGTTAGACGTCAGTCGATTCTCGGCAAGCCCGCGGAAATCGACCTTGAACACCCGCGCCAGGGTGGCCACCGCGCCAGCGCGGCGTGAACCTGCCATACTGCCCATGGCGACGACGCACAACCACGACGAATGACAGCTTTTGGACGTTTGCGCTCCTACAGGCCCTCGTGCTTCCATCGGGGCCCCCTGCCATCGGACCTCAGGAGGCCACCAGGGACCTCTGACAACAGGCGGCGGATCGCCTGCAACTGCTGACCATGGCGACGGCGAACGACCATGCCGGACGGCTGAGGAGGGAAGGATGATTGTTATCCCTTCTCCTCCCTCTCTCCCTCCTTCCCTCCCTCCCTCCCCTCCCCCTCCCCCTCCCCCTCCCCCTCCCCCTCCCCCTCCTCCTCCTCCTCCTCCTCCTCCTTCTCCTCCTCCTCCATCCCTCTCCCTTCTAAACAAATCCCCACTTTGGCACCACCAGACGTTTCCGTAGGCTAAGCCAAGCGTTTCGCTTGAGACGTCCTTGCACAGTGTGGCCCTTAATATACAAAGACCAAAAAAAAACATGGATGAAGGGCTGGTCGTTTTCATAATTCGGCTCTCGTCTTACGCCGTGCACCTTCTTTCTAAAAGCTTGCAGCAATATTGGCTACAAGAGTAATGGGCCGATGGTTTTCAACATGCGGCTTTCGTGTCCGCACCACGTACATTCGTCTTCAAAGTCTGAAACCGCTAATCGGATGGAGGCGGACACTTGTTCAAAATGCGGCTGTCGTTTTAGCACCGCGCACGTTCGTCTTAAATCTCGCACCAGTTACAAGAATGGAGAACGATGTGTTTACAAGTGCGGCTCTCGCCTTAGCGCCGCGCACATTCGACTCCTTATCGAATGGAGATCTTGCTTCAGACTTGACTTTTCGACTATAAGCTTCAACGTATGTACTAGCTGCTCAGATGGATAGTCTTTCTTTGTTTTTCATTTTTGAAAAAAACGCCGGAGACTCTCAAATCCCAGGACCAGAACAGGGAATGTGTGCAACAATTGCTTTTGTGGGAGCCGCTCCTGGTCGAATCGGCAATCTCGCCTAAACGACAGGCAAAACGTGGTGCTCGAGTTTCAAAGAGAGCGCTTCTGGCAGTGCAAAGCCAAGGGCTGCTGGGACCTACGAGGAGGGGACTCGGACTGCTCCAGTCCATTCCTCGGTCCCTGTAAGCCTTCCCAAGTTGGGACGGGAGGGTGCATTGCAGCATGGCTGACGCATCCTGAGTGTACTCCGGTCCTCCTCATCCTCCTCCTCCTCCTCTTCCTCCTCCTCCTCCTCCTCCACTGTACCAAACCAACCCTTCTGATTGCGCACTATGCGATGCGGTGTTTGGGGGGATCAATGTCCTCCAGGATATACTCCAATGGGCGACCAGAAAAGGATTCAGCGCAATGGGAAGGGATGGGATGGGTAGGACATCAGATGTGGCGCGAACACGCTTAGATAGCCTCCCTTGGCTCTCCGCCCGCCTTCGGCTAACCTCAAGAGAGACCCCCAGGCAAGAGTGACCCTCGGTGCGCTGCTTGCGTAAGGGCGGCGGGAGGGGGGAGAAACCCCAGCGCACAAGCCACTGCCATCGCGCAGGATTCAGCGATCGAAGGACTTCAGAGGGCCCGTACGCAAGATCGCTCTGGCGAAGGGTCACTCTCACGTGTAGCCGAGTCCTCCTCCACATCCTCCAGGCCTGAGCCAGTTCGAAGCGCGCAATCGGATCAGATGGGATCGCGCATGAATCAGCGCGGAATCATATCGGGATCGGAGCGTTTGGGATCGCGGATCGGCCCCTACAGGTCGAAGAGGGAATCAGTCGGCTCGTGTCCCATCGGATCGGATCGGGGTCCGGATCGAAGTCCGGGGGTCGGATCGCACAGAATCGAATCGTGAGCAGACCCATCCTGTCCTGCTCCTCCTCGGGAGACTGCCAAGGGCGGGTGTCCTTCCTTTGTCCTCCCTCCCTCCCTCCCTCCCCACCTTGCGACATCCACGAGGAGGATGGGGGGAGCTGGATGATATTTCGTCGAAAGAGCGAGGCGGCTGTCCGGGAGCGGCTGCGGACCTGGCGCTTCGGCCAGCCCGCAGGGTGCTCCGACGCCGGCACGCGGAGTGGATCGGGGAGGGGGAGGAGGGGGGGGAGGAGGAGGAGGAGGAGGAGGAGGAGGAGGAGGAGGAGGTGGAGGAGGAGGTGGAGGAGGAGGAGGAGGAGGCGGAGGAGGAGGAGGAGGAGGAGGAGGAGAGGAGGAGACGAGAGATGAGGAGGGAGAGGAGGAGGGTCGGAAGGGAGGCGGGCAAGGAGCAGGAGGAATGAGCGGGAGGTAGGGATGCCTATGAGGATGAGGGGAGGGGCGATGAACAGGGGGGGAAAAGTGGGGGGGGAGCGAGGAGGTGGAATTAGAGGGAGGAAGACAAGCAGGGGGAGGAAGAGGGCGAGGCGGATACGGATCGGGAGGAGGCGGACGAGAGAGAAAGTGCTGGATTACGGCAAGGCGCGCACAGCTGGGATTGCTCGTTAGCGGCTGCGGTCAGCGTTGCTCCCGCACACGACGCCGCGCTTGCACAGGGGGCAGTCCGCGCTGCGCAGCAGCCACAGATCGATGCACGACTTGTGGAACGTGTGGCTGCAGTTTGGCAGGCGGCGCACCTCCGAGAAACGAACACCCCCTCCTCCTCCTCCTCCTCCTCCTCCTCCTCCTCCTCCTCCTCCTCCTCCTGCTCATCCTCTTCCTGGTCCTCCCCCTTCTCCTCCTCCTCCTCCTCCTCCTCCTCCTCCTCCTCCTCCTCATCTTCTGCCATTCTCTGTCCTTATAAATAACTCCTCCCTGTCGCACCCCGAGCCCAGTTTTTAGGACGGGCCGGGCGTTTCGCATGAGGCTTCCTCCCAACTTATGTATGACCCTGAGGCTCTGAGGCTTCAAAATTGGCAACAGTTTCACAGATGGAGGGCTGGTCGTCTTCTAACTGTGGCTGTCGCCTTTGCGCCGCGGGCATTCGTTTCAAAAATTGCAAGAGTTTCACGGATTGAGGGCGGGTGGTTTTCAACATGTGGCTCTCGCCGTAGCGACGCGCACATTCGTTTTAAAGATTTACCAAAGCTTCACGGATTGAGGGGAATCCGTGTTCAACATGTGGCTCTCGCCATAGCGCCGCGCACATTCATTTTGAAAATCGCAAGAGCTTCACGGATCGAGGGCGGCGGTTATAATTTGAATGTGGCTCCCGCCTTAGCGCCGCGCACATTCGTTAATACAACTTGCATGAGCTTCACGGATTCCCATGATCAAAATATCATAAATAATGTTTTGGAAGAACTCAGGATTATGAGGGCGCAACAGTTACGTTCATTCGCGGTGTTGAAGTCCCAAGAATGGCGTTCTGGCACGATTCAGGATCGCCAAATCGCAACAGTCAGGTTGATCCGTGGCGTTGGAATCCCGAGAACAATGTTTCGTCATGCTCAAGGGTCTTCAAACGGTTGTCTGCCAACGAGGCAGTTCCCTCAATGGAAATGAACTGGTGTAGGGGCATATGAAGATGGAGCTTGGAGGGAGGGTTTATTCCAACATCGTTGATGACTCTTGGGTTTTCACTGGTCCTCCCCCTCCTCCTCCCTTCTCCTCCTCCTTCCCCTCCTCCTCCTCCTCCTCCTCCTTCCTCATCCTATTCCTCCTCCAATTTCTCATCCTCCTCCTCCTGCTCCTTCTCCTCCTCCTCCTCCTCCTCCTCCTCCTCCTCCTCTACGGGAGGACTCGTAGATTTCAGAGGCGCCCCTGATTCAATAGGGATGATTTTCTAAAACATTTCTTTTCTGTGGAATCCACAGGCGCTCCATTTTGTCATAAGAACTCCTTCTAATAATCTATATACAACAATGGTGTTCGGTTGCTGCCGTGCACACTGGCGCCGTGGTGTACACAGGCGCTGTGGTGCACGCAGACACTGTCGTGCACACTGGTGATGTGTTGCACACGGCTGCTGTGGGTGTACGCAGGCGCTGTGGTGTACACAAGCGCTGTGGTGCAGCACTGTGGTGCACACTGGCGCTGTGTTGCACGCGGCTGCTGTGGTGTACATAGGCGCTGTTGCTGTGGTGCACGCAAGCACTGTGGTTCACACAGGCGCTGTGGTGCAGATCGCCACCTACATACTACTCCCACCCGCCCTCGGTCATTCCTAAGCATTCCCAGACGCCACTAGCGCGAATCGTGACGTCACCGGCCCCTTTCCCCCCCCCCCCTTTGGTGACGCCCGTAATCGCCCCAGAATGTCTTTTTTTTATAAAAACAAAAAAAAAAAAAAGAGAGGCTCTAAAACCGTCCCCTCGCGCAAGGACGCCTGGCATTGCTCCTCAATCTGGCCTGGCCGAGGGCCGAGCGCGGGCCAGCGCTCCTCGGGTTCCCAAGATCCCCAGGTTACTTTGATATTGTCTCCTTACTGCTTTTGAAAGGCCGGCCTTCCTCGGGTTCCTCCGCTTCCTGGGTAGCAAGGCCAAGCAATGCAGAGCAACGCACAGTAATGCAAAGCACTGCAAAGAAATGGCAAGCAATGTCAATCAATATCTAGCAGTGCCCATCAAACATGTAAGCTCACACGTGGCACGCTGAGGCCTGTTTCCCCAACCTGAGCAATTCCAAGCAATGCCAAGCCACGCAAAATAATTCGAAGAAGTTCCCAGTGATACCATTAAAGCAAAGCGATGCCCTAGCAATGCCAAGCGAGGGCAAGTATGCCAAGCAACACAAAGCTTTTCACAGACGTGCAAATAAATTTCAAGCAATGCCAAGCAATGCCAAACAATGCCAAGCAATGCCAAGCGATTCCAAGCAATGCAAAGAAATACCGAACAATGCTAAGCATTGTCAAGCGATGCCAAGCAATGCCAAGCAAGGCCAAGCAATGCCCAGCAATGCCCAACAATGCCAAGCGATGCCAAGCAATGCCCAACAATGCCAAGCGATGCCCAAGCAATGCCTAACGTTACAATGTAATGCAAAGAAATGCAGTTAAATTTCAAGCCATGCCAAGCAATGCAAAGCAATGCCAAGCAATGCGAAGCGATGACAAGCAATGCCAAGCAATGCAAAGAAATGCCCAAACAATGCCAAGAAGCTGCCAAGCAATGAAAAGCAACACCAAGCCATGCAAAGAAATGCAGAGCAATGAAATGCAATGCATGCCAAGCAATGCCGAACAATGCAAAGCAATGCCAAGCAACACAAAGCAGTGCCAAGCTATGCGAAGGAACGACAAGCAATGCCAAACCATGCAAAGTAATGCCAGATAACGCAAAGCAATGCCAAGAAATGACAGCGAACATGTACGTAAGCTCACAAGTGACAAGCTGAGGCCTGAATGTGAAGCAGTGCCCATCAATGCGAAGCAAAGCCAAGTAATGCAAAGCAATGCCCAAGCAATACAAAGCAGCACAAAGCAATGCCAAGCTATGCGAAGGAACGACAAGCAATGCCAAACCATGCAAAGTAATGCCAGATAACGCAAAGCAATGCCAAGAAATGACAGCGAACATGTACATAAGCTCACAAGTGACAAGCTGAGGCCTGAATGTGAAGCAGTGCCCATCAATGCGAAGCAAAGCCGAGTAATTCAAAGCAATGCCCAAGCAATACAAAGCAATGCAAAGAAATGCCAAGCAATATCAAGCAATACCAAGAAACAAAACAAAAATGCACAGCAATGCAAGGAAATACCAAGAAATGACAAGCAATATCAAGCAATGCAAAGAAATGCCAAGCAATGCCAAGCGATCCCAAGAAATGCAAAGAAATGCCCAACAATGCCAAGCGATGCCAAACAATGCAAAGAAATGCCAAACAATGCCAAGCGATGCCAAGCAATGCCAAGCAATGCAAAGCAATGCCAACCAATGCAAAGCAATGCCCAAGCAATGCCAAGCAATGCAAAGCAATACCAAGCAATGCCAATGCAAAGCAATGCCAAAGTACGCCAAGCAGACATGTAAATTCACACGTGATACGCTGAGGCCTGATTGCCCAGCCTGAGCAATGCCAAGCAATGCAAAGCAATGCGAATCAATGCCAACCAACACGAAGCAATGCAAAGCAATGCCCAAGCAATGCCAAGCAATGCCAAGCAATGCAAAGCAATGCAAAGAAATGACGAGCAATGCCAAGCAACACAAAGTAATGCAAAGCAATGCTAGGCCCTAGCATTGCAATGCAATGCATACACATGCCAAGCAATGCCAAGACTTGCCACGCAATGCAATGCAATGCCAGGCAACGCCAAGTAACGCAAGGCAATGCCAAGCAATGCAGAGCAATGCAAAGCATTGCCAAGCAATGCAAAGCAATGCCAAGCGACACCAAGAAATACCAAGCAATGCCAAGCGATGCCAAGCAAGGCAAAGAAATACCAAGCAACGCTCCGTGATGCAAAGAATGCAATGCAATGCGAAGTAATGCCAAGCAATGCCAAGCAACGCCAAGCAACGCAACACAAAGTAATGCAAAACTGCACAATGCCAAGCAAGGCAGCGTTCACGCCAAGAGATGCCAAGCAACGCCAAGAAATGCTGCTCGGGAAGCCTTCCCCTAATTAGGGTCGCGTCGGGTTCCTGTGTCTTCAGGGCCCCCATCCGCGGGCCTAAGAAGTCTGGACGACACCCCTGGGGGGCCACCTTTCGTCCTGGATCAGCCACTCATCGCCCAGGGGCCTGGCAGCGGCCCCCCGTGGCCGAGACTGGAGAAAACATCATGGACCGAATTGTTCACAGTCCGTCGGGAGTCTGGACATGGCACCCTCGCGTGGTCACCCAGTACACATCGGTCGGAAGAAGTAGGTAGAAGCATGAAACAGGAAGGCGTCGAAAGTAGATCGGGTTCCGTCCGCCCCCTAAGCCACTCGATCATTGACGTAGGAAGGCGCCTAAAGTAGGTTGGAATATGGGAATCCAAAAAAGCCTACTTTCAACGACCGATGGGTACTGCCCCCCCCCAGTGTTTGTCCCCTCGCACGGTCCCCTCGCTCTGCCCTGAGGCACCCGCGCCGGCCCGACCCACGCGCACACATGGACAGAGCAAGACTGCTCGGTGACCTCACTCTGACGTTGCTGGGGCAGGCAGTGAGGGGCAACGATAGGGGGGGACTGGCATACAGTCGGGGCCTTGACCTAAGGAACCCAAAATAAGGAACGAGGCCCGAATTTTTTCCATAAGTTAAACTTCGATTTCCGATCGAAAACATAAGGAAAACCTGAGGCAAGCTGCGAAACACTCAAGGAACGCGGAGCCCCTCCCCAACGAAAAGGGTTCCTTCTTCAGGGCCCCGACTGTAGGGGGGGGTGCACCAACCTGGAATCGGCGATGCATCGCCAATGGATCGGCGACAGGTCCCTGATAGCGCATCCGCACCTTCCTGGGCAGCTTGGGGCTATGGGGCCCCTATCGGCGATCAGCGGGCCATTGCGTGTCGATGCATCCCCCCCCTATGCCCATCCCCCCCTATCGTTGCCCCTGAGGAAGACAGGCGAGAGGGGGGGGGTTGGGAGAACGAAGGGGAGGAGGGGCAGGGCGACGACGCGGAGAAGGTCCACAGGCATCCTGGCGGTAGCCCTTCGTCCCGGGCCCATTTCTGATGGCCGCGGGGCCCGACAACAGGCCCAGAGGCCGAAATCGAGACCAAGCGCTGGGATTGAGAGAGTCATGTCGTCGTCGGAGATCTGGGGCCCCCGGGGGTCTCCGTGCAGAAGCCTCCGGAGCTCACCGGAGGCCCCCTGGGCACCCGGAGGCCCGAAAGGTGCCCAAGGGCCTGGGTCCTGGAGCTCCTGCTCCTCAGACCTCCAAGTCTGTTGTGCGCGCGCTCACGTTGCAAACTCCCCCTCGGGGCCTTTGAAGGGGCCCCAGGACACACAAAGAGATACACACAAATAAAAGGATTCCCCATATTTTCCCATATTTTCTGGGTTTCTGTCTTCCCCCCCACTTCCCATATTTTCCCATATTTTCTAGGGAATCGAGGATTCATTGTGTCTGTGTGTTTGTTTCCCTCCTGAACCTTGTCACCCGCCTCGAAGGACGTCAGGCAGATTGAGCACTCGAGCTCACCGCTGATCTTGGCCTCTTCGTCGAGGAGCAGCGTGGCCTCGCCCAACTTGCGGATGTCGGCAGGCGTCAGACCTTGTCCCTGACTGGTCGGGAGCTCCTGCGCGGGGCACAAGCGAACTCCTGCCGCTGCCGGTCCTCTTCCTCTTCCTGATGGCCATCCTGCTCGTAGCTCTCCACATCCTCCTCCTCCTCCTCCTCCTCCTCCTCCTCCTCCTCCTCCTCCTCCTCCTCCTCCTCCTCCTCCTCCTCCTCCTCCTCCTCCTCCTCCTCCTGGGCCTGGATGCCACGGTAGGCGGGTAGCGGACAACAGTTACGGCAAGAGTTCGACGAAAGGCGGCAGCGAGGAGGAAACAAAGGGCGGGGTTTGTTTCTCCACACTGGCACGGCAAAGAAGCGGGCGGCTCGGCTCTTCCTCTCCAACGCAACCCCTGCTCTGGGACTCCCAACTACTTGGCGAAGGGGTCGAGGAGTCAAGCCGCGATCATGGCAGGATTCACCAAGAGATGTCACTGCAACGCGACTGTCATGCTCCTGTGCTACCCAAAGACAGACCCAGTTACCATCGCACTGCGGCAGCAAGTTACAGAATGGGTTCAGCTGTGGCGCAGGCAAGAACCTCTCAGAGAGCGGCTTCGTCAAGGTCGGAATCACATCTACAACCTGTCCTCGGGGAAGAGAGAGAGAGAGAGAGAAAAGAAAAAAAGTGCAGGGTTGTGACTGGTCCGATGGCGGCGCGACGCTCATCATGGGACTTGCAGAGATCCGATGGCGAGCTGAGCACCCTGACAGATGGGTTGGTCGCCATGGAGATGAAAGGGTCGTTACAAAGACGATCTTGACCTCACCGACCTCTGCACCGACCTACTCTGGACGCACGAAGCTCTACGTGTTGGAGCGAGGAGATGTATACCGAGCCAGAGCTTCCGCAGCTACCATGAGGAGGAAGAAACTGAGCAAGTGATATGAAGCTCCGGAAACTTTCGTGACTGGGGGACTCTGGAACCAAGCTCGACTTGACGCGGCTGAGTACGACATTACATCGACATGTACCAGATGCGAAGAGGCACTGGAGGACACAATGCACCAGATCTACGGCTGCAAGTGCAACGACGACATTCAACAACCATGGGCCACTGAAGAGCTACCTGCCAAAGCCAGAAGAGGGATCGAGGAAGACCTCTCGCGCAGTCCCCTCTGGCTTCAGAACGCTTCCAGGTCATCTCAACCAAGTACGGACTCCCATGACATGGGAGGAGTTCGATTACGGCGACGTCTGCGCTACCGACGGGCATGCAGGAGGTGATCTTCCAATTGTTCGGCACTTGGACATACGGAGGGCCACATATTCGTGACAGGTGTTGTTTTCTTGGACGGGTCCGCAAACTCCACAGACATGGAGATCGCCAGAGCGGGATGGGGCTGCGCGCTGACAAACAACACGCCAGCGGGAATCATCAAGCTGTACGGCATGATCCCTGGGAGGCAAACGGTACCTAGCTCGGAGATCACGGCCTTGGTTTTATGCCTGGCGGCAACGGAAGGGCCGATCACCATCTGGACAGACGCGCAAATTGTCTTGGACGGACGGACTTCGCAACGTGACCAATACCGTGGAGACATCATCAAAACGTGGTGGAAGGCGTTGGCGCAAACACTGGAGGCAGAGGTTTGGTAGACCTCCGTAAATGCTACTCCCACGTGGATGAGTCTACTCCAGGAGTTCCAAGTCAAGACCGCAGCGCTTCGCACGGCGATGGTGTGGCAAATGCATCGGCAAAATCAGGCGCGATTGAAGCTATGGATAGAATCCAGCCGCAGGCCAGTGAGCTCACCGAGCGGGAAAGGCTGGCATCAAATCCGCCGATCCGGCTTGTGAGGTTCAATGAGCGTGAGCTCGAGATTAGCTTGAGCTCCGCTCTGCACAGGGGGGGGCCCGTTCAGAGTGTTCGCCCGCCCCCCCGACTGCAGGGGGGGGGGGCCGTTCAGCATTGTCGCCCGCCCCCGTGAGTCGTGACTGCAAAGGGGGCCGTTCAGCATTGTCCCGGCCCACGGCCCCGGCCCCGGCCCTGGCTCCGGCTCCGGCTCCCGGCTCCGGCTTCGGCTTCGGCTCGAGCCCCGGTCCCAACCCCGCCGCCCCGCAGCCCCGGCTCTACAGCCTCGACCCCGAATCCCCGCCCCCCGGTCCCTCTGTCTCAGCCCCGGCCCCGGCCCCGGCCCCCGGCCCCGGCCCCAGCCCCCCGGCCCCGGCCCCGGCCTGGGCTCCGACCCGCTCCAAGTCCCGACCCCGACCCCGGTCCAGGCTCCCAGCTCCGCGGGCTCCGGTCCCGGCCCCAGCCCCGGTCCCCGGCTCCTGGTCCCGGCACCGGCCCCGGCCCCGGCCCCAGCACGGTCCCTGGCCCCGGCCCCGCCCCGGCCCCGGCCCCGGGCCAGGCTGCAGATCCCGGCCCCCAGTCCCGGCTCCGGCCCCAATCCCGGCCCCAGGCCCCCGCCCCGACCCCAGTCCCGGCTCCCGGTCCCGGTCCCTGGTCCCGGGCCCACGCCCCAGCCCCGGCCCTGCCCCGTGTCGATTGCACAGGTCAGTTCCCATGTAGTAAGCTATGCATGATGTAACGATTGCGTAGTGCTCGAGTCTCACGTGCAAGACGTGTGCATGTGAGCGTGCTGCCGCTGCCGCTACTAACTCAAACCGTTGTAGGGGCCCCTGAGCTGATATAAACTACGTGCGAATATGTTCGATCCCTCTTTCTTGTGATTCATACTCGCTTTGGCCCACGACTTTGCGTGCGTGGATTTCGGTGGTTCAATTGGTGTGCTACCGACATTAATAGCGGAGCCAATCGGCTCCAGATCCGCGGCCAAGAGCTCGCAAGGATTCACCGAGCCTCGCGTACAGCCCAGACTCCGTGGAAGTGATGCGCCCAGCCGGGTCTCAGGAGGAGGAGGAGGAGGAGGAGGAGGAGGAGGAAGAGGAAGAGGAGGAGGAGGAGGAGGAGGAGGAGGAAGAGGGGAGGAGGAGGAGGAGGAGGAGGAGGAGGAGGAGGAGGGGAGGGAGGGGAGGAGGAGGAGGAGGGGAGGAGGAGGAGGAGGAGGAGGAGGAGGAGGAGGTCTCCTCCAGAAAAGACCGGCAGAGGCGGCCGAGGCGGAGCGGGCGCCGAGGACACGCCCATATCCCACCGGAGGAGGACGGCGGCGAGCAAAGCAGGCCGAAGGCCGACGCGGAGGAGGCGCAGAACGACAGCCGCAGATGGACGACGGGCTCGCGAGGCGCTGCCCAGATGCAGCGGACTTGAAGCACGACGCGTACTCCAGATTTCGTAATAAAGGGAGGGGGGTCTCATTTCGGGGGGGGGGGGGTCTCTTCCAGGCTATCTTGGAGGGCCTGGGGGGTCTGGGGACGATGTTTTGGAGGGTTCTCCCACGGGGGAGGTCTGAAATGGCTTGTCTTGGAGGGTCCAGACCCCCTCCCTTGCATTACGAAATCTGGAGTACCAGAACTTTCGGCGGCGGGCGACGGTGTTTCAGCGGCTGTGTGCGCGGCGAGGACCCCAGGTGGTGAGTGAAGGAGCATACTTACTACTGCAGTCACTGCAGGGAGACGCCTGGGATGCTTGCGATGAGATAGACTGCGAGAGGTTGGACACGAGCGAAGCGTTCGAAAAATATTCAACAAGCTGGATGTGCTGCACCGCTACACGCAGGAGGTGGAACTACCCGGAAGGTGCGACGCGTTCTTCGGGGAGTTCGCCAGGCAGCCGAAGGAGACGCTCAATGCATACGTGCTGCGACACGGCAAGGAATTAGCCAAGTTGCGGGAGGCAGGCCTTGAACTGCCGGACCTGTTAGAGGGCTGACACATAATGACAAGATCGGCAGTACCCGCATGGCGAGTTCCCAACCTCAAGGCTCTCTGCAACAACAAGATGACCGTACAGGTAGTGACCGAGAGCCTCAAGACGATGTTCGGAGGTGACAGCACTGCTCACAAGAAGGACAGATATAGAGTGCTGCACACGTACAAATCCCGACACAAAGAAGGCGAGACCTACTGTGTCGACGACATCTGGGAGGGCATAGAGGACACCTGATACGAAGATGACGATGATCCGCATGAGTTCGACCAAGAAGGAGATGACGAGTGGTATGGTGATGACGGCTACGAAGACGACGTTCCCGAGGAGCTGGAGGCAGCCTATGAAGTGACGAAAGAGGCCTACGCAGCATATGCGGCTGCGAGGTCCAAAATGAACGAGCTGGCGAAGTCGAGAGGCTTCTACCCGGTGGTGGCGCTGATGGACGAAAGGAACAGTGGATCGCCGCCGCCGCGTGCTGGGACGGCCAGACCGCCCAAAGGCAAAGGAAAGAATCAGAGCGGTGGCAAATCTAGAGGACACTCCAGCCAGGGCAAGTCGAAGGGCAAGTACGGTGGCAGGAAGCCGTTCGGATCAGAGGCCAAACCATCCGGACGGGAGTCCAAAGACATCGGGTACTGGGTCAACGCAGCAGCATGGGCCAAGGTTGAAACGTAGGAGAGATGGCGTCACGAAGGAGGAGGAAACCAAGATGCTGAACGGGATTCAGCATCGAGACGAGCCACCACTGAATGCTGATGAACGGACAGCTGTGGTACCAAGCTTGTGGATGGCTTGGGCACGCTGCGCCACAAGGAGGCGGCCGTCCCAACAGGCTGGCGGTGCCTTGTCCCGGAAGGAATAGCGAGGAGCCAGGCCTCGATCGTGCGCGAGACCGGGCGCGGCAAGTGCCAAGGCAGCGGAAAGAGCCATTCCTCCTCCTCCTCCTCCTCCTCCTCCTCCTCCTCCTCCTCCTCCTCCTCCTCCCTCCTCCTCCTCCTCCTCCTCCTCCTCCTCCTCTCCTCCTCCTCCTCCTCCTCCTCCTCCTCCTGGCGCGTCGGCGGCGGCGGAGGCGCTCGGGCGTGCACGAAACTGCTCACCGTCGTGGAGTTGATGGCCGAGCGCGGGAGGGCTCCAAGAGCAGGAAGTGCTCCGACGTGGCCACCCGGAGAGCCCGTGAGACCGTAGGGCGCAGGCGAGGCGCGCCCGCCGCGGAAGCTGTCCTCCCTCCCTCCTACTCCTCCAACTCCTCCTCCTCCTCCTCCTCCTCCTCCTCCTCCTCCTCCTCCTCCTCCTCCTCCTCCTCCTCCTCCTCCTCATAGTACTCATCCTCCTCCTCCTTTGCTGCCCATGGCCCATCGCTTTGCTGACCCTGTCCTTCTCCCTGCCAGGTCTGGCTGCGCGCTCTCGAGTGCGCATGCCGGACTCCTGATGTTGCTCCTCCTCCTCCTCCTCCTCCTCCTCCTCCTCCTCCTCCAACTCCTCCAACTTCTTCTCCTCCTCCTCCTCCTCCTCCTCCTCCTCCTCCTCCTCTCCTCCTCCTCCTCCTCCTCCTCCTCCTCCTCCTCCTCCTCCTCTTCTGCTCCTCCTTCATTGTGTTTTCCTGTTCTTCATCCTCATCCTCATCCTCCTCCTCCTCTCATCCTCATCCTCATCTCCTCCTTCCACCTCCTCCTCAAACTTCTCCTCCTTCGCCCCATCATTATCCTCCTCCTCCTCCTCTCCTCCTCCTCCTCCTCCTCCCTCCTCCTCCTCCTCCTCCTCCTCCTCCGCCTCCTCATAGTACTCCTCCTCCTCCTCCTCCTCCACCTCCTCCTCCTCCTACACCTCATCCTCCTCCACCTCCTCATCCTCCTCATCCTCCACGTACTCCTCCTCCTCCTCATCATCATCCTCCACCTCCTCATACCCTGTTTGTTCCTCCCTTATCGTCGTCCTCCTTCACCTCCCTCCTATTCTTCCTTTTTCTCTTTATCGCCCTCCTCGTCTTCCCTCGTCATCGCCTCCTCCCGTTCCTACCCCTATCCTTCCCGCGCCATCTTGTTTCTCATCCCCTTCCTCTCTTCATCCGTATCCTACTTCTACTCCTCCTCCGCATCCTCCATCCCCATCCTTCTGTCTTCCTCGCCCTCCTCGCCCTCCTCGCCCTCCTCCTCCTCCTCCACCTCCTCATCCTCCTCCTCCTCCTCCTCCTCCTCCTCCTCCTCCTCCTCCTCCTCCTGACAATCCTGCTGCTGATCCGCCTCCTCCTCCTTCTCCTTCTCATCCTAGTCCTGCTCATCCTCTTCCTCCTGCCGAAGATGGCCGCAAGGGCGGACCCAGGTCCTGATACCCCGACAGCCGGCTCACCTGGCCCCAGCGCGAGATGACGTCGGCGTCCTCTCACGGAAGCAGCTCAAGCATTGGCGAGAGGTTTCTTGATTGAGACTCGCCATCGCTGTCCCCAAACGGGGGAGGGGCAGGAGGGTCAGGGCGAGGGACGGAGGAAAAGGACGCGGAGGAGGAGGGAGGATGCCAGACTGCCCCGCCCCACTCTCCCCAACCTAAGACCCTGCGGACATCCCATCCATCCGAAGCATCCACCCTCCATTCGCTTGCCGCATAACTAACTCCTCCCTGTCGCACCCAGATGCGTGTCGGCAGGGCGGGCAGGACGTTTCGTCTGAGATCCCATCACAACTTATGATATGTCAGCTGAGAAGTTGCAAGAGTTTCACGGATGGAGAGCGACTGGATTTCTATATGTGGCTTTCGACTTAGCGCCGCGCACACCCGTCTTAAACATGTGCAGGGGCTTTACGGATGGAGGGCGGGTGGTTTTCAAAATGTGGCTCTCGCCTTAGCGCCGCGAACATCCGTTCTAAATTACCCTGGCGACGTACCCAACCCCTGCGCAAACGCGGGGCGCAAATAGTTTAGGACACTGTATAGAAGGGGGCGATGACGGAACGAGGGTTACCTATGTCTGCAGACGGAATTCGGGACACTCGCAGGACACTGGCTACAGGACAGGGAATAGATAAAGCTGATTAGTTACAATCCCTGAGCAACCCTAGCCACTTCGAAGGCGGGGAACTCACATCGAAGCCCCCCAGGGATGGCGAGGTCTAATTTGGGTCCGCGCGTGGCGACTCTGTGCTGGGCCCCCCAGCAGGCCTCGAAAGTGGCGACACTTTCACAGATCGCAGCCCCCCCAGGGATGGCGAGGTCTAACTTGAATCTGCGTGTGGCGCCACTGTGCTGGGCCCCCCAGCAGGCCTCGAACGTGGCGACAGTTTCACAGATCGCAGCCCCCCCAGGGATGGCGAGGTCTAATTTGAATATGCGTGTGGCGTCACTGTGCTGGGCCCCCCAGCAGGCCTCGAAAGTGGCGACAGTTTCACAGATCGCAGCCCCCCAGGGATGGCGAGGTCTAATTTGAATCTGCGGTGGTACCCACTGTGCTGGCCCCCCAGCAGGCCTCGAAAGTGGCGACACTTTCACAGATCGCAGCCCCCCAGGGATGGCGAGGTCTACTTTGAATATGCGGTAAGTACCCACTGTGCTGGGCCCCCCAGCAGGCCTCGAAAGTGGCGACAGTTTCACAGATCGCAGCCCCCCAGGGATGGCGAGGTCTAATTTGAATCCGCGTGAGTACCCACTGTGCTGGGCCCCCCAGCAGGCCTCGAAAGTGGCGACAGTTTCACAGATCGCAGCCCCCCAGGGGTGGCGAGGTCTAATTTGAATCCGCGTGAATACCCACTGTGCTGGGCCCCCCAGCAGGCCTCGAAAATGGCGGCAGTTTCACAGATCGCAGCCCCCCAGGGATGGCGAGGTCTAATTTGATGTGCGTCACTGTGCTGGGCCCCCCAGCAGGCCTCGAAAGTGGCGACAGTTTCACAGATCGCAGCCCCCCAGGGATGGCGAGGTCTAATTTGAATCCGCGCGTGCCCTCACTGTGCTGGGCCCCCCAGCAGGCCTCGAAAGTGGCGACAGTTTCACAGATCGCAGCCCCCCAGGGATGGCGAGGTCTAATTTGAATCTGCGCGTCGCCCTCACTGTGCTGGGCCCCCCAGCAGGCCTCGAAAATGGCGACAGTTTCACAGATCGCAGCCCCCCAGGGATGGCGAGGTCTAATTTGAATCTGCGCGTCGCCCTCACTGTGCTGGGCCCCCCAGCAGGCCTCGAAAATGGCGACAGTTTCACAGATCGCAGCCCCCCCAGGGATGGCGAGGTCTAATTTGAATCTGCGCGTCGCCCTCACTGTGCTGGGCCCCCCAGCAGGCCTCGAAAATGGCGGCAGTTTCACAGATCGCAGCCCCCCCAGGGATGGCGAGGTCTAATTTGAATCTGCGCGGGGCCCTCACTGTGCTGGGCCCCCCAGCAGGCCTCGAAAGTGGCGACACTTTCACAGATCGCAGCCCCCCGCAGGGATGGCGAGATC